GGATGAGATGGTCGATGGGAGAGAAAAAGTGTATCCATTAGGCCTTGTAGAATCCTAGAATCCTAGAGCTGGAAGAGACCCCAAGGGCCATCCAGTCCAACCCCCGCCATGCAAGAAGGCAAAACCAAAGCATTCCCGATACAGAGCCTCTGCAGAAAAGCCTCCAGAGAAAAAAACTCCACCACACTCCGAGGCAGCCTATGCCACTCTCCAACAGCTCTTGCTAGCAGGAAGTTCTTCCTAATCTATTCAGTCAAATCTCTTTCCTTACCATTTGAAACCATTGCTCCCTTGTGCCCTGGTCTCTACAGCAGCAGAAAGTCAGTGTTCCCCCTCCTCTTCAATGGGACACCCTTTTAAATTTTGAAACATTGATCTCATTTTCCCCTTCTACCTTCTCTTCTCCCAGCTAAACATCCCCCAGGAGGAAAGGAGGAAAGAAAAAGAGAACGAAGGGAGGAAAAGAAGGATGGAAGAGTGGATTGGAATGGAGGTAGGGAGAGGAGGGAGGAAAGAAAGAAGGGAGAAAAGGCAAAAGGGAAAGAAGCAAGGTAGGAAGGAGAAAGAGAGGGAAGGAGGGAGGAAAGAGAGAAGGAAGGAAGGATGAAAGGGTGGAAGGGAAGGAAGGAGGGAGGGAGAAAGAGAGAGGAAAGGAAAGAAAGAAGGGAGGGAGGGAAGGAGGAAGGAAAGAGAGGGAAGGAAGGATAGGATGTTGAGAGAGAGGAGGGCCTGAGAAAAGAGCCCAAGGGGCCACATCCAGCCCCCAGGCCTGGGTTTGCCTGTACTTGCTCTAGCCTATACAGCCACTCAGTCTAGGATTCTGTGAGCTGCAGTTCTCTATGCAGTAGCCAATTTGTGAAAACAGAGTGCATGAATAACTGATGGGAAGCAATGCTTAATATGTCATCATAGAGATATTCATAGTTACTATTGAAAATCTCACCGTAGCTAACAAATGAAATGGAAACACAATTGAATTTTGCTGCTGGTCTTCAACACTGATTTGATTTACAAGGTTTGATTCTAACCATTCCTTATAGCAGCTCATTCCATGAAAGTAAGTCTGGTGCATGTTTGTGTTTAGGTTTCGCAGACTCCCTTCCTCCTACGCAGTGGAGCTCATCGCAATCCATGTATGGGAGCTAGCTGGGAAACCCATCTTTTTCAGTTTTGTACAGGGGATGCGAGCTGTACTCAAGCTTCTGATTCAGTATCGAGATATATGCATTGTATGGCACAAGCATTACAGACCAAATTTTACAGTTTTCCAAAAGGTGTTTTTGAAACAAACCAGGTGAGGGAGCTTCAGAAGGTTCCTTGAATATTGATAGGGATATTAAGTGATACCATCAGAATTGTTGCTTGTTTGCTACAAGGGTTAGTAAGGATATGTGAAGTTTTATATGGAAACATTTTGAAGATTCAGGCCATAGTGAAAGATACCTCAAATTCTAAGAAACAGCACTGGATTAGGAATACAATTGGAGAAAAACTATTCTAGAAATTATCTTAGAGCAAAATAATTATTCTGAATCCCTGTCCTTGGCAAGTGTTCCCTCAGGGCCTTAATGAAGAACCAAAACTTGTAAATTCTAATATTGTCTTTATTGACTTTAGGTGGTGTTGCTTTTGCTATTATGGTTTATATCAGTGGTTTGCAAACTTTTTTTGCCCAGGGACCACTTGGACCAGGGACCACTTTCCAACATTAGTACCAAAAGAGTTATGAATCAGTTTTTGATCAACTTTAGATTCGGTTTGGTTATTTGGGGTGCTGATTCAGAAAATTGCATTGGATATACCACATCAGCTCTAGTTTCTGATACAGAGCATATGCCATCCAGTAGTCGCCATCTCCTCACCCACAGAAAACGATATTTAATAATCTAGAGCTGATGTGGTAGTAGTAATCTTTCATGAGTAGTCAGCCATTCCACACCTGACATCCTCATTGCCTCGGCACTATAAGAAGGTTTGCGAGACCACTTGCTATCATTGCCGCATGGTTTCAAGGCAACAGTGTATTAATGGTGAGGCTGCAGATCATGTTTTTGTTCTTGGGGACCACTGGTGGTCCACGGATCAAAGATTAAGAATGACTGGTTTATATAGACAAGACTTATGTTATATTTGCCATTAACTGCTGTGTAAGTAGTTATGAAAGAATTGATTTTGAAAACTTTAAATCAGGATCAGGAATTGTGCAGCCCATGGGCTACATCTGGCCATTTGCAGGAGTTTTGAGATCCACACCAACTCTTCCAGAACCCAGAAAGCTTTGAAAAATAAACCTAAATAAAATAATTCCAGAAATATTTATTTAAAGAAACCTTTGCAGGATTGTATGGTGCTTTTTTGGGAGGCTCTCCATCCTATTGCAGCATACCCGAGGTGCAAGGAGCAGGCCCAGGCCTGTCTACACGGATAAAAAGATTGTACTCACCTTGGAGCTATCTTGATCCTGACACATGATGTATGATCCCTTTAGCAGTGAAAGCTAAAGCTTTTTTAGCCTTTAATGCAATATAACAAAATTCACTTCTTGCTCTACAGTTTATAGGAAAATCAGCTCTGTTGCAGTCATATGCTACATGGGTATAATCTAGACCAGGGTAGTTCCAGGAGAAAGTGGTGGGACTTGCTGGGTAGCAGGAATCATAATTTTATTCCCTTCATTATCTCTTGTTCCATCTTTACTCCCATTCCCACTTTCCATGGTCACATTTTCAAGCCTGATCCAGCTCTCAACCGCTATCTTTCTGTGTTGGAAAAAAGAGCAGTGCTGATCTGGATTGGGGTGTCTGCTAGGTGTTAATGGGGTAAATTTGTGGCAGCATTGAAGCTAATTAATCTGAATTGTAGCTAGTTTATTTTGGTAGTCATAGGGTGACCACAAGGTCAAAATAAAAGTAGAGTCATGCTGAAGGAAAAATATCCTCAATTTTAGAAGTTGTGGAGTTATAGGAATTTCAGGGGAAATAAGATTAAGTAGATTCAGAGTGTTCAGCTCCAATATCAACTAACTAAAATGAATAATCTAACTAATAATGAGAACAATCTGAAACATAAGGGAAAGGTCTAAAATGAATAGTTTTCACTTGAAGTTTACTATTGGCTGCGTCACACAAGATTAAAATCGGCCATAGAACCGACTGGCTCCCATCAGACAACGTTGTGCGGACTCCATGGGTGGAGGAGGGTGGAATGGGTGTTGCCATTTACTTTAATGGGCAGAAGCTGCGCATACCATGCTTCCTCCCATGGGATCAACAGCTGCAGGAGCTGGGTGAAGGGCAGCAGCTTCCCCATGCCCTGTGATGAAGCGAAGTGAGGTGAGTTCTTGTGGGTTTTTTCGGGCTATATGGCCATGTTCTAGAGGCATTTCTCCTGACGTTTCGCCTGCATCTATGACAAGCATCCTCAGAGGTAGTGAGGTCTGTTGGTAGTGAGGTCTGTTCCAACAGACCTCACTACCTCTGAGGATGCTTGCCATAGATGCAGGTGAAACGTCAGGAGAAATGCCTCTAGAACATGGCCATATAGCCCGAAAAAACCCACAAGAACTTAGTGATTCCAGCCATAAAAGCCTTCGACAGTACATTGAAGTGAGGTGAGCCTTTTTTGGTGGCCATGTGATGAGGCCACAAGTTATTTTCTGTTATTGCTTAGTGATGGATGTTCAGAGATTTGTTATTATGTATTCATTATCCTCCTGTTATAGATATATGTTATTATATGCAATGGATGGGTGAACTTTCCTAAATTGTTGCAAATTATTAAGCTGACCAAGCTGTGTTTGCAGACATCCAGTTCCTTTAGTACGCATGCTGCAAGGCGCATTCAATATCTCCTCAAATACATCCACAGATATAAGTGAAGATTTACACCAGAATATGTTACCAAGAGGCAGTGCCAGATTTAAGACAATTGAGGCCATGTAATAGTTAAGTTATAAGACCTCTTACATGGACTCTGAAGGAGGCAGGTCCGGTAGGCCTACACTGCCTGCTTCATGGCACACTCCCATATYGCTCCAAAACAGAACACCTTCAAATTTAGAATTGCACCACACAAGCAAAATCCATCATTATATATATGTAGGCAGGAAGATGTCCCCCCCCCCCCCCAGCCAACGGGGCCATGTGCTTAAGCATACCAACCACAATGATAAATCCGGCACTGCAGAACAGGTGTCTGCATCTTAGTACTTGATCCTCTCTTTCTCTTGATCAGGCCATTTATCCTGGATCCAGTCAACCCAACTTTTAATGTATGCGAGAGCAGCAATGCCTGGGATGAAGTTGCTTATGTGGCCAAAGAAAGTCTCCATAAGCCTCTCTTCAAAGGAATGCAAGCAAAGGAACCATGGCTTTTTACAAATAACTGGTGAAACTGGGCCTGTAACTGAGCTTCATTCATCTTCATGTAAACAAGAAAAACATGTATGCAGGTTTTGCTACCATTAGGCATGTACTATAACTAGCTTTTTCCCCAGGAAGAATATCATCTTGGTTATCTTGCAAATGTGATAAGTAAGGTTTCAATGATTTCACTAAACATATCCAAACCTTGATTTGAATACAGTTGAGTCTCACTTATCCAATCTTTGCTCATCCAACTTTCTGTATTATCCAACACAGTCTGCCTCCTGCCCGGATACACAGCTGTTTCAATACATTGTGATGTTTTGGTGCTAACTTCGTAAATACAGTAATTAATACATAACATGACCATGTATTGAACTGCTTTTTCTGTCAATTTGTTGTAAAACATGATGTTTTGATGCTTAATTTGTAAAATCATAATGTAATTTGACAAATAATAGGCTTTTCCTTAACCCCTCCGTATTATCCAACGTTTTTGCTTATCCAACGTTCTGCTGGCCTGTTTATGTTGGATAAGTGAGATTCTACTTTAATGAAGAGAAATACGCACAGCTTTTGCTAATTTCAAGGAATTTCCACTTTTCTTCCCTGAAACGAAGGGACTCATTTACTATAGACAATTCAGTCAACTTTATTTTGATTATACAATAACAATTGCCTTCGCTAATCAATGATTGTATTTGTTCTTAAAGAAGTCAGAATCCTAAACTATACATTTTTTAAAAAAAAACCCCTAAAATTTTCCTGGTCATACAGATTTTCACATTGTGTAATGGCAGCTTTGGAGTATTTTCCATGTAATGTAGAAGGAACCTCTCCACCCTTGCTGTGAACTTGCATATGATGTCCCTGCTGCTCAACAATCCCATCTTGAGACTCTGCACATTACACAATTTGTTGAAGGCCAACAGTTGCTTCTCCTTGATTTTAGTAATCCTGAATTAGCCCATTGCAGCCTGGTCAAGCCACCTTGCCCTAACGGTAGCCACTCAGAGCTAGACTCATGTGATCATCATTTGAGGAAACAGCACTATGATCACTGTACAGCTGACTGAGTGCTAAACTTAGGATTTCTTTTTTTTCTTTGTAGAACCGCAGCTCTTGTCCAGCTTTCCTGGTTTCTTCCAGTTCTCGAAGTGCCACTTGGAGCTCTTGTGAAATAATGCCTGGAGTGTCTTGTTCCTTCATAAGCCAGTCCAGAGCCATGTGACTTCGCATCCTTTCATCCAAACTGTATTGAGAATAATAGGAAATCACCTCCTGTTACCCACCCACCCCAACATTAAGAATTAGTAACAAATATTTATTTATTTATTTATTTATTTCAGGCATTTATACCCCGTCCTTCTCGACCTCCGAGGAGGGACTCGGAACGGCTTCCAAACAGGCAATATGTCACTGTCTTCTAAAATCTAACACATTGACAAATAATGTATCAAGTCTGGAATTTTAACGTTCTAATGTTGATTTTTCAGAACAGATATGGGCAGTATATTGGACCATGAGATCCACAGCAGAAACATAAACTAAAGTAAAGAGCAGTTAATTTACGTCGGGGTAGAATTTCCATGGCCAATGGGCCACAGATGGCCTGGAGTGGAGTGCTGTGTAACTTCTGCAATTACTCCAAGGATTAGAAAACTCTTATAATTTTTTAAAAAACTGCTCTCCCAAAAATATAATTATTGGGTAATACATGCTTTACCCATAACATCTTGTTTTCTTCCAAAAAAACTTTTAACAAAATCATCTCTCCAGAAATTTACTAGGTTCTCCAGGCTATTCTATGGTATACATTCCCTGGAAATTACCATAGAGTCACCCTAGAGGATCTAGCAAATTTCTTCTCTGGGAGCAGAAGAAAGATAATTTAATAACATTTGCCTGTATCCATGATTTCAGGTAATAGCAGTCCAATTGGAAATGTAACCCCTGTGGATATGGGGTCTCAAGGTATATTAAACAAAGTTGCAGCAGTTAACTTTGCATAGTTTACATTGCTTTTCCATGCTGTAACATAATAAAATATGAAAAAGTAGTGGGATACCTCTGCAAAGCATTGCAAGTAAAGATTGGTAATAACTGTTGCAGAATATCCCAAATGTTACACTTTTATTCTAAAAACTTACTTGTCGAGAGCACTTAGTTTCACGTAAGGCTTTGAGGCTTCCATTCCAATGCAGTAGTTGAAAGACTATCATCAGTTCCTAAAGAACAACAATGAAAATAATGGCAAAATAAACTGCTTTAAAGCAAATTCTCACTTTGATAATAAGATAAGTAAGGTTTTGGAGTGGGAAATGGGCATTGGTTCCAAAAGTGTACTATTACCTCTCATGTGAGAGCAATGGCATAAAATCCAAGGATGTTCTTTCATTTGCACAAGAGTAACACATAGCTGTTAGTTCTATCAGTTTTGAAATTCTGGAACATTGATTATGTTTTTCATTGACTATCATAAGAATCCTAGATCGGCCACTCAGTTAAGAAAACATACCTAATATCTTCTCTAGGCTGATCCCCTCCCTTTCCACTCCACCTTAAGAACCAGCTGCTGGATTAGGTAAAGCAATATCTTGCTGGCAATTGGGGTACAAGGGAGAGGATGGTCCCCCATACCAACAAGATTGTGACAAGGACTTGCAATGTGCTTCTGAGTATCTGCCTTCCTTGCTGGTGGTAGGATGATGGGAATGTCATCCTACCTGCTCCCAGATCACTATAGACCTCTTTTGCCCAATGTGGCTCCTACCTCTTCAGATGGGTTGTAATTGTAGCTACATAGGATTAGTGACTACAAAGCAGTTATGGATCCTTAACTCTAGTTTATGAATAAGTAACCACAATACTGAATACCATACTATAGCTTTAATTAAAAATGGCAATACTTGTCATTTTGAAATGAATGCTAAAATCCAACCTCTTCTTTAGTGCTGCAGATTCAGACCAAGATATTTTGCCTCTTTAGGACATGGTTGTTTGTGTTCCTCTCATCTTCCAAATGCAGAACATGAAAGGAACTAAATTGGCTGTTGAACCTTATTTTGATTTGGGTGACAATTAGAGAAGGCCTGCACAATCTGTGGCCCTCCAAGTATTTTGGAATTTGACTCCTGAATAAAATCGATAGTGCAAACTAAAGTTTGTTGTGTATGCATTCAAATCATTCCTGACTTTTGGTAATCTAGTGAGGTATAGAGATTTGAGTATTGGACTATGACTCCGAAGAGTCCAAATCCCTCCTCAGACATAACAGCCCACTGGGCGCCCCTGGGAAAACCACATTCTCTTAGCTATAGAAGACTCTGTTATAGGTTCACTGTAGGGTTGCCTTGTTGTTGTGTGTTGAACGCACACAACAGAAATAATCATGGGGTTTTTGTGGCACAATTTATTCAGAGTGGGGTTGCCTGTGCTTTCCTCTGAGGTCGAGAGAGTATGACTTGACCAAGTGGATTTCTATGGCTGAATGCAGATTCAAACCCTGGTCTCTAGAATCGTAATCCAAACTAGAAAAGATCTATCAAATTGATTGCTGAATGATAAATCAACACATAAATATGATTTTAAGTCTTGGATTACAGCTCCAAAAATGCTCTGGCTATCCTTGCTGTGGGATTCCAGGAGTGGTGGTCCATTTTTTAAAAAACATTTCCAAATGATGTTTTAAAGAAATGGAAATAGATCCCATGTTCCAGCTTGTGATCATTTTTTTTTATCTATCCCCAGAAGATACAATCTTTGGTATTCCAATCTTTTAACAACTGGCATATGTTTGTGGTCTGCCTTTCATCAGACATAGGAAAAACAGCAATTAAACGCAAAGACAGTATAACTTTATTTATAAAGAACATGTATTCCCTGGACATATTTTGAAATATGACTTGGATCAGTTGTTTTGGAACATCAAAAAGTATCAGACTAAACCACATCGTTTTTCCAGTCCACATTAAAATCACTGTAGCGTTGAATAAAAGGTATCTTTTCTCCAACTGGAATCTAATCTGGGAAACAGTGTCCAAAGGGGAAATGTCAAACCCCAATCTTTAAAATATTGTGGAAAAAAGTATACGTATGTGTGTATTTGTGACCACATGCCTTCTTCGGTTACCTTTGAAAATTCATTTTTCATTTCAGATGCTGCTTTCTGTCTTACCCAATTTGTACATTATAAATATTTGCGGTCAAAGAAATGATGGCACACTAAAAAAAATCAAAATAAATAATACCACAGGCAACACTTTTACTAGCGTGAAAGCTACACAGAACACAATGAGACATAACCATGCATGGGATTCCATTGGAAAACTTCAAAATACTACCAGATATGAACATAAACCAAACAAATCACATGCATAGCAGTACCTGAAATTCCAGCATGGTTTTCCCCAAGTTTGATTCCAGCATGTAATGATAGGCTCCGATACTTGTACTTGGGTCATCAGCATTATTTAAAGTACCCTTTAACAGAATGAGAAAGTTTCTGAATTATACAAGCATATTTCATGTTTTTAAAATATCCACTATTTCCTATTCTCAGATTACATCATTTATTGTGTAGAAGTGGTGACAAAATGATTTGATACCCAAAATTCCCAATGCAGCTTGGGAAGTGGAACGCAGCTACCCAGAAAAGTTTCCCCCCTCTTTTTGTTTGGCTATTGAAATAGATATAGTATTTAGGCATAATTAGAATTGCAATTAGTTTTATACTTTGGATACTTCTGAGGCCAACTTCCTAAATGTGCAGTTTATGAAAAAGTTATCTTTTTGTACTCGTGCCAAAACATTTTTTAGCAATTATGTAATGAACAGGTAACAAGTGTGATACAAACAAAGATGCGGTAGGTCTGGCTTCCATTCATGCTGGAGAGCATCAAATTTTAACAAGAGTTTCCATTAAATGAGAGACTGTGCCTGGTATCCTTAAAATGCAAACTGCAAGTTGATATCCCCCCCGCTTTTTTTACTAAAGTGCCCAAAATTAGTTATTTATTTATATCAGAAGTGAACCGAGGGTACAATTGTAATGTATTTTAAAAACACAAAGTTTACAAAACTTGGCATTATACTAAATGTCGTTTGACCAGTAGCTGGCCACTTGGAGTGCCTCTGGTGTTGATGTAAGAATGTCCTCCATTATGCACGTGGCAGGACTCAGACTGCATTGGAATAGGTGGTCTGTGGTTTGCTCTTCTCCACACTCACATGTCATGGACTCCACTTTGTAGCCCCATTTCTTAAGGTTGGCTCTGCATCTCGTGGTGCCAAAGCACATTCTGTTTAGCACCTTCCAAGTCACGCAGTCTTCTGTGTGCCCAGGGGGGAGTCTTTCATTCAGTATCAGCCATGGCTTCAAGTTCCTGGTTTTAGCCTGCCACTTTTGGACTCTCATTAGCTGAGGCATTCCTGAGAATAGATCTTAGAAAACTATTTCTTGATTTAAGGTGCAGGCATGCTGGCTGACATCCAAACAGGCGGTGGACTGGAGATGTCACTGCCTTGGTCCTTTCTTTATTGGCTACTACTTCCTGATGGATATCAGGTGGTGCAATATTGGGTAAACAGTATAATTTCTCCAGTGTGTATGGCATAGACATCCTGCGATAATGTGGTATGAGAAAAGTTTCCCCACAGGATTGCAACATATCTGGGCGTCCCCTGGGCAACATCTTTGTAGATAGCCAATTCTCTCACACTTCAGAAGCCCAAAATTGGTGAATTGCAATGAATACATTAAAATCCTATCTTATGGCAAAACAAGACTAGACTAGTTGCTGCCGGGTCATGAGGGTTTCTTCGCGTATTATCTTCTTGTTTTTAGATCCTTTCTCACAGTATAGGTCTCTGACTCTCAATTTGTCTATATGTGCATGTGTTCCCCCTTTGAGGATGAAATTGAATATTAAATGACTTTTATGATGCTATTTATATGTCCAACTCCAAACCAAGATGAGGGATGGGTCAAGGGTCAAGAAAAAACTGAGATCTTGCTCATCCTTTGGGAGGCATGTCACACATTTTAGGACCTCTGTCTTATGTTCCTGATCCATTTAATATTGCATATTCTACTTCAGTGGATCAATATATCAGCACTTGAGACAGAAGGAATATTTTTCTTAGCTTCATTTCACACACAACAACACTGTTGCTTTTTTACATTTTGGAGGACAATCTGTGAATGAAACCCTGACAATCCCTTTTATACTTCCCAATGCTCTAGAGAAACTGTGCTGAACTGAAACGAACAATATACGCACAAGACAGTTCCTTTCACAGAACTGTCAGCTAATTTATAGCATTTGAAATGTAGGAACATTAACACACTGCTGTTGAAATATTTATGCTGGCTTTTAAATATCCCTGAGGACATTATCCCAGAACCCTGCAATTTTAAGCTTTTGCCTTAGAAAATTTCCATAAAAAATGATGAATTGTATCAAATGAACCTTCTTTTCCAAAAGCGCTTCTAAATAAATCATGGCTCATTTCCCCAAAACTTACATATGGTGTTGTCCCACAAAAGGGCACAAGTCTCATAAAGAAGATTGAAAAGAAAGGCTTCCTTTCATCCACAGACCAGATATATACACCAGGCCTTTCTCTCTGCTCTTATATACCTAAACTATAAGAGCTCCTTTCCACTTCCCCCAAGAATCTCATAACCAAGACTTTCAATGAAAGAGGAAGAATTTCACATTAGCCTTCACCAGAACCTTCAAATCTCCTTTTCTCCTCTTATCTGCAGTTCCTTCTGCAGGGATTGGAGAATTTCATTAAGCCTTCTAAGGACTGGAGCATACATCTCTTGCTTAGCCAGCATTTCATAAAGAGAAAAGATTACATATTTTGCTGACTTATTCCTTGGACTAGCAACATCCTTGTACTGAATCGGAATTTTGTTTTCTCCCACCAGTAAATGCAAACTACTGAATCTTAACAACATTAGACTCCAAGACACATGTACAATAATGACATTCAAGCTTCTGATCCACTTGGACATGCTTATAGCTTGTGATAGTGGGGAAATCACAGCAAGAACTCACTTTATTGTGGATTTGGTGGAGTGTAATTCACTGGTGGTTAGCCTTCAGCCAAGAAACTCTAGAACATGTGCCCAGAGGTTACATGGCTATACACAGAACTGAGCTTTGTAAACTGAAGATCAATTATATATAGATATTAGGCTGTGCGAAAGTATTGTTAGTTGTGTAAAAATTCGTTAGATTTGTGCAAACAAATTGCTATTAAGAAACATGCAAAAAAGGGAGGGAGAAAAATTTAAGAATCAAAATATTAATAATGTTTGTTAAGACGCTGTAACATTTGAAACCCTCCCAAAATCAGTTTAATTTTCAGTATAAGCATTAAGCAACTTTGGTAAAGCTAAAGAGGTATTGCTAGACCGAGGCTGCTTACCAGTCACCATAAGGAAGGGCAGCTAGTTGGGCTGGACAGGAGACTGAGAGCACAGCATCCTGGGAAATGTAGTTTGGGAAGGCAAGGCCCCCTGTGACAGAGAATTCAAAAGTCCCTGCCCTAAACTACATTTCCCAGAATGCAGTGCTCAGCATCAGAAAGCCCAATGAGGGCTGCAGCAGCCAGCCATTTAGAGTCATTCTAATAATAATAAATAAAATTATATGTTGAAGTTCTGTGGTAATTGTGTGCCATATAGACACACTGTTAGACATTCAAGGGGATTGCTGTTGTGGCTTTTTGGGAGATAAATGTTTTTGTCTAAACTTTTAAAAATCCCCCAAAATCAGTAGATATGTGAATTGTTCTGAAACTTCCGAGGATTGACGCCCTAGTTATCTTGTGCATTGCTGTATATGAAATTCAAGTAGATAGATCTTGTAGTTTTTTTAAAAGATTGTTTGTAAAAAAAAATCAAACATTCCCTAAAATTTAATGAATGAGTATAATATTCTGAAATTTTGTGGGCTAACAGTGGAAAATGTATGGTACAATTATAGCATGTTTCATCACAATAGTACTGGTAGTATTGATAGGATCTCTCATGTCAAACAGGTTTTTATTGAAGAGCCAAACAGCTTTTGGGACCTACGATACTGGGAGCAACACTGGCAGAGGATCTCTCAGAGATAAAGCAGTGGCACCATAGCTAACATTTGTTTATATTGCACATAAATAGTCCTGGTAAACCCCTTTTGAATGTTTTTCACTCTGGAAACCCTATGATGAGCTACTCCAAAATGAAAGAAGAGACAGTGCGAGAAAATGAGTCTCCCAGATTGTAAGGTACACAGTGAGCTACTGTAGTATAGCAGAGGACAATGATGTGTAGCATTGTGGTAAATGACACAACTGGATCCAAGTCAAAAAGACATGCAGCTATTGACATGCTCAGTGGTAAATGTATCCTAGGAAAACTGGAGAATTTGGCCTCAGGTCAAGAAAAGTTTGTTTATTGCAAGCACATTCTTCAGACAACCAAGGAAGTGACTGTATACCTGTATATATAGAAGTCAGATTACATAATTGGAAGCAGAAGATGAATAAACTTTAGTCCTTATAAAAACAGGACCAGGAGCAAATTGTGGCACAGATCATGAATTGATAAACTCAAAAATTAATATAAAACTAAATAAAAGCATTAAATCAACCATATTGCCAAAAACAACCTGAAGAAAATTCCCAAAGAATGTAAAGATAATGTAAAAAGTAGATTTGCAATATTAAATCTATTTGTCTTGAAGCCAGAATAACTTCTTCCTGAAGGCAGAGACCCGGTCAGGGAGGAATGCAAAAAGACATGATCTGCGGTCCTCCCACTGCCAGAGGGAAGGGGAGGGGGAGGGGGAAGGGCTTTATTGGGTAGCAGACAAACTTCTTCAAGGAGAAAGGGACAGAGGAGAAGCAAAAAATGGAAACCTAGGCTGCCATTGGCTTGAATCCTGTTGGTTGAGACCAACTAGAGTAGAACCACCCAGTTCATCATTTAATGTTAAGTCCACGTGCAGTCAAATCCAATCTATCCAATAAGTTTTAGGCCAAAATTAACAGAACATTTTTGGGAATCTCTTACGAGATTTTAATATAAAAGTATTGAGCCCAGCACACTAGTTGTGACTTTTACAGGCTATTCCCAAAGCATGTAGCTTTTACTAAATTCATAATGTGAAGGATGAGCAAAAGGGAAAGTATATTCCAGTTCCCTAGCTTGCATTTACATGTTTAGGGATATAAATAAATAAATACATAAGTAACTGTACATATGTGTTATTTGTTCAAGCAATATATACATAGTTAACAAAGGAATTTATCCATATATCAAGTCCAGCTATTTTCACAATGGAATACAGTTGCTGTTGACAAGTTACAATATTACTACCCCACAAACTTACAGCTAACCCCAATTACAGCCTGATTTGGTTTTTGTATATTGAGTGACAAATGCTCCTGCAACTGATTTCCTTGCTAGAGGCAACAATGCTGAAAAAAATAAAATAAAATAAAGGGCTGCAATTAAGATACAGGAAAGCAAATTGAAGGCAGGGGATTCTTTACTGCTCTGGGTTAGCCCTGGGGCCATTACTGGCTTTCCTATATTTTGTACTTCATTTCAAGAATGTCTGTTTTCCCTGAAGGATGGAACTGAGTTTTTCTGAGCATTTATCTTAATGACATTATTCTTAACTCATGCTCTGAAGTTTGTTACAAAAAAGATGAATTATACATCTTTTGTGTTATGGGACCAATGCCCTGTTGATTGGTGAGAAATTTGAGAAGCATGGGCAACCTCTATACAATGAGATATCTTTACTTTCGTACTCTGAAAACAGAAAAGGCAGGCACAGGGGCAATAGAGAAATGCCCTGGCATGCTGCTTGACCCCCATTTTCTGGTGAGCTTTGTACTTATGACTCTTCAAATATGTTGGATTTTTCTCCCCTGAAGCTCCTGTCAGCATCCTGAATGGTAAGAGATTACGAGAGTTGTAGTCCAAAATATCTCTCAAGCCAAATATTTCCTACCCTTGCTTTCCAGAGTATGACTAGACTCTTACTTCTAATACAATTGTGTCCTGCATGCCCCCTTTCTTAATTCCTTGACCACATTCATGATTGGTTTTCTTTTATGATCCCTATACATTTACTAGCTTAGGGAATATATAAAGACATGAAAGACAATTCTCACCTATTGGGGACCATCCAATGCAATCAACAGGAGTCTGCTCCATTGTAAATTAGGAAGCAGTGGGGTGATGTTGCCAAATCCTACCATGAGTGATCTCCAATGTGAGGTGGAATTGCAACTGCGATCCTCCTTCATAGTGTGTCAAGGAAGATCACTTGAAGAAAGGGTTGGAAATGTCAGTCAACTGCTTCCTGATCAATAGGGGAACGGATCTCTGTTGTTCACAGGGGCTATTATCCAATAAGTAAAGACTGAAGTTGGGTTTTGGGCTAGGAGAGAGATACTAGGAGGTACATAATCAAATGGCTCTGCATGAATTTTGGCCCTACATGAATTGTGGTCCTTGTCTTGGATCTGCTTCTCATTTCCATTTTTGGAGAGGGACTTTGTTGGCATATTTTGTGGTAGGCATTTAAAAACATTTGTCTAAGAAATGCATTTGGATTGTTTATTACAATGATCACCTAATGGTTATTACTTTATGCAGCTAATCTAAAAAAAAAGTATGGAAAATGGGTTAATTCCAAGGTGGGGTGTGTGTAGCCAACACACTGGCATGGATACCTGGTGGCTTCCACAGTAGTGGGGTGATGTATTTGCTTTTGGGGGGAGAGCGTTGTGTGGGCTTTGGAGGATATATCAAAGTGTGCAACCCTATTTGAAAATAAATTCTGCGTCTTGGCTAATTTTAACTAAAGTTTTGACTAAAACTTTAAGTTGCTTCATTTGACACCTGACATAGCCAGTATCTGCCACTCTTGGATATGTAATCCAAAAATATCTAGAGGGCAGTTTCCCACCCTTGCAGTAGTTACTTTTGACCTCGGCATCAGCCTAGTAGGTTCCACATGCAAAGGGTCTGAGGTCAAATGGGACACATTAATCAATGTAGCTGAATCTTATCAATGGGGACACTGTTATATAGATCCTGACACAAATCATTTCCTTCCTGCCTCTAGTACCACCACAGAAACAGTTGATGACAACAGACACATCTAAATATGTTACTTACACTTGTTGAAGAAACCGCTTCCTGAACACTCTCCATAATAAATTCCTTTGTGATCTTACGACAAGGCAACTCATTGAAAAGAGAATTGATCAGAGCTACTTTGGCTGCATCTCTTCTTGCTTCTGCCCTGCTCAGGCAGCACTGAAATAGAAGCAAATGTTCATTTTCTCTCCTGGTATCATACAGACATTTTAAGAAAAGTAATCCCCCCTAAATGTATCTCATTACTTTGATGCACCATCATTACTTAGGAATGAATCCTCCCATATAGCTCTTGGATTTCCTCCATTTTGATATTACATGTGTAAAGTGTAGTTTTGTTTTAATTCGAGAGGAAACTGCCTACTTTTATATGATTTCAGCTTCTCAATAAACACTAATTCACCCTCTGCAGAAAAGACTAGCTGTGGAAGTGTCCGAAAAGAGCAGTCATACCAGCTAAGGAGTTTAAACATCATTGTCAGAAGAAAAACTACAGCAATGGTTCTCCAACTAGGTGTCCTCCAGATGTGTTATACTCCAATACATCTAGAGTGTATCTAGTAAGATACTGAGAATGCACCAATTTGTAGTCCAATACATCTAGAAAGCACCAAGTTCATGAGAGATGCTAGCTTATAGAATTTGGGGTTTTAAATTTAAAACAAATTTGACTGGATATATGGTGGTGAAAGTGAGTACTTCATTATTTTCACCTCCTTTTTGAGTAGTTCATTATTTTCTCCATACTACCATTTCTTTCATTCCTTTGACAGGGCAGAACAGATAAAATATAATGTGTGAACTAAATTTAATATATGCTAATTTGTATAATGCATAAATTTTGTTTCTATCCAACCATCTCTACATATACTTTGCCCTTGTTTAGGTACAATTTTTTATTGTGTTATATGAAGAAAAGAAAAAAAAACCATTCGATCTTCAAAATTCAAGATACAGTTATTATTTCCCCAGTCCCACCATGTCCCTCTTTCCACCCGTGAATCACTACCCATGACTTCTGACACTACACCACATGGAACTAGTATTTAACAAAACTCTATCCTTATCATTACATTATTAAATTCCTTGTGCGGTTATTTCAAAATCTATTTTTGTCTTTTTTAAAAAAAAAAAAATACCCAAAGGCAAGTCTCCATTTTCTAACAAAGACTTCATTGTTTCCCCCCCCTTAAGCCATTGGAGAGCTTGGCCATTTGGATATACTCGACTAATTTTCTACTCTAATCCTTAATGAATACCTTTTCCTCCTCCCAAGACTTTGCTATTGGAATTCTCGCAGCTACGAAGCTATATTGGCAAATTTCTACATCATGTTTACTAATTCTATTTTGAAACAAACCCAGTAGACACCTTTCCGAATTTAATCATGTACAAATTGATGGTGACTATGTTGAATGGTCGTTTTGTGTAGAGGATTGTTTAGGCTATGATTTGTATAATGTTCATAATGTTTTTATGAAACAAGAAGCAAATATTTTTGACCCACCCTCTTTACACACACGCACAATATCTTCTTATGGTAAATATCGTAGTTGCAGTTATAGATTTGCCACATTACATCACATTAATTTCGGTGGACACTCGTATATCATTCTTTTACATGATGGACTTCGAACTGTATTAGCACATAGTACCAGTTGAAACTACACACTAATTCTAGATCATTATGCCAGTAAGATAAATTTAATGTTTAAAAGTAGAATGCATATCTAAGTATGTATACACTATGCAGCATTTTGGTGTGCCCTTAAATCATGGGGAAGGATCCCCATTCAACCTAGCCCTAGTCCAACCCCGATTCATGACTTCCTTTAGTTCCCTGCATCAGCCAATGTTGTTGTTGTCCTTCTTCTTCTTCTTCTTCTTCTTCTTCTTCTTCTTCTTCTTCTTCTTCTTCTTCTTCTTCTTCTTCTTCTTCTTCTTCTCCTTCTCCTTCTCCTTCTCCTTCTCCTTCTCCTTCTCCTTCTCCTTCTCCTTCTCCTTCTCCTTCTCCTTCTCCCATACATTTCTATCCCTCCCTTCTCCCTACAAGGGGACTTCTTTTATTAGTTTTCAACTTTCTCTTACTGGTCATACTTACTTTCTGAAATGCCAAGAAAAAAAATTCAGGCTTGCATGTTTTCAATAAGAAACATTATAATAGAAACCAACCCAAATAAGTTGGATTTAAACCATCTTTCTGAAGACTAAATCCCTTTTTAAAATAAAGGCTAAAGGGAAGTATTTATTTTAAGAAAGACAAGTAAAGTCACAGATCAAAGAGTCTGCACAAGTTTAAAAGCAAATGGCAAACATTTGCAAACCAAGAGATTTACACATCAAGAATAATTATTTCACATTCTGAAAGTAACTGGAGACATATATGCTTAAGCAAATGTAGAGTTATAATTTAAGTATTTGACACCTCACTTTCTCCTGGAAGATTTTAAAAGTAACCCACCTACTCAGCCAACACATAAACATGAGAGTAATACTCAAATGAATTGATCCCTGAACAGTTTAGTGAAAAAACTAAAGCATTTCTCTTAGGGCAAAGGTGCCTGCAAGAACTGCTCAACAGTAGTGTGTGAAAAGGTTTTGAAGTCAAAGTGAAAAGAACTATAAAGTATTTGAATGTGAATACAAAGGACCTACATCCTCCTTTAGTTAATGATCTTGGGCTGGGTGATTCACTCCCTTATTGTTCACAAGAAACCATTAAAGGAGAGAAAAGACCCATGGCCTCATTTTGGAGAAAAACATTATTTTACAGAGGTAGAACTAATTTAGTTGCTACTTCAACTAAGGAGCCCATGGTGGTGCAGTGGGATAAATCGCTGAGCTGCTGAACTTTCTTACTGAAAGGTCGCAGGTTCAGATCCGGGGAGTGGCGTGAGCTCCCTCTGTCAGCCCCAGCTTCTGCCAAACTAGCCGTTTGAAAACATTCAAATGTGAGTAGATCAACAGTGGGATAAATCGCTGAGCTGCTGAACTTTCTTACTGAAAGGTAAGGGTAACGACACTCCATGTAGTCATGCTGGCCACATGATCTTGGAGGTGTCTACGGACAAAGGCGGTTCTTCGACTTAGAAATGGAGAGGAGCACCAACCCCCAGAGCCGGACACAACTGGACTTAATGTCAGGGAAAACCTTTACTTCAACTAAAATAATTGAGGTTACACTTTAAGAAGTCTTTATAAAATAAATTTTGGGAAACCTTTTCCAATAATGAAAGTACAATCAGTCCTCCAGATTTGTGAGTTTGAGTTCTGTCAATTTGATTATTCACAGATTTGATTAATATGTTCTCTATAGGAACCTCTAGGTTCTCTGGTGGAAGATGACCATAGAATTGCAGCCAGCCACATCTGGAGCTGAAAGAAGTCAAAGCTGCCAGAAATAAAAGCAAGAAGCAGTGGAGTGACTAGAGCAGGCATGGGCAAACTTCAGCTTAAGCAGCTGAGGAGGGAAAGGAAGAACCTAAGGCTGTTAGGAATTGTAGGAGTCGAAGTCCAAAATACCTGAAGTTGGCCTATGCCTGCACTAGAGGGTTGCCACAAAAACCTATATCTCCAGAGTGTGGACAGTACCTGAGGGACAGAGAAACTACTGCTTTGTGTTTCATTGTGGAAAAAATGTTTGTTTATTTAATCAAGTCAGGTGATTGTGGAATACCTGTAAAAAAACCCATAGGACAAATCCCTTCAAAAGCAAACTCAGTACAATTACTGCGAGCAACATGATTGACAACTTAGACAGCCTGGTGACAGAACTACCCTTACAAACAAAAATCAACATTATTTTTTACTAATAAATATAATAACAAATGCAAACCTGGGCAACACCGGGTACACGGGCTAGTTAAATATAAATACACTTACCACTTTGCTGTATTGATTTACCAACTTTCCCTCAGGACTGGGGCTCATGAAAGTTGAAAGAGACCACAATGGGTTAAAAAGGGAAGGAAGGAAGGAAGGAAGGAAGGATGTAAATTCTCACAAAATGGAATGCAATATGCCTCTAGGGCACTTGGGGATACCACTGCTCCAAGATGACATAGAATGGCCAGGCTGTTCTTTTCATATCCACAGCTTCCCTGTTGAACTGTATTGGCACGTCTTTAGAGAAAATAATCCATAAGAGAGTTGGATGACATGGGCCATTGGGGAGAAATGGAGGGGAAAACCAAGACATGAAATTCTTGGAAGGAGAAATGGAGTACAGAAGGCCACAGAAGTGAATGGGAAGAGAGGGGAGGTCCAGATACTATTTTGGGAGTAGATATTACTTTCTTAAATACACACACTTTGGGTAAACAAAGACTGTAGCCATCGACGTTCTGATCAGGAATGCTTATTTTTCCTTTTCTTTTCTGAGAAAAAATGTTCTCTGCTTTAAAATAGTTCCAGGCAACGGAAAAGAGAGAAATTGGAATGGGGATGGGAGGAGGAGGAAACAGTAGGTGGCCATGCCGAAATAATATTGTTTAAAAATAGCTGTTTGTGTAATATGCCTCTTTTGTTCTGGGGAAAAATGTATCATGTCCACAATCTAGGACACACAAGCATGTATTGGTTTTCATGGTATCTTGTGTTGTAGGTAAAGGTAAAGCTTTCCCTATGACATTAAGTCCAGTTGTGTCTGATTCTAGGGGGTGGTGCTCATCTCCATTTCTAAGCTGAAGAGCCAGTGTTGTCTGTAGACACCTCCAAGGTCATGTGGTCAGCATGACTACATGGAGTGCTGTTACCTTCCTGCTGGAGCGGTACCTATTGATCTACTCACATTTGCATGTTTTCGAACTGCTAGTTTGACAGAAGCTTGGGCTAACAGCGGAAGCTCACCGCGCTCCCCAGATTTTAACTGATGACCTTTCAGTCAGAAAGTTCAACACTTCAGTGGTTCAACCCACTGCATCACCGGGGGCTTCCTTGTGCTGTAGTTTACATATATTTCAACTGTCCTGACTTGGCAGAGAAAATCCCAATTAATTCTATGGAATCTCACTTTTTCAATTACTTTGAACATGACCCATTTTCCTTCTCCTCCCATCATTTTCTTTGTCTTCTGCATACTACCATTAAAATGAACTGAGGCCACCTCTATATTGACTATTAAATGCAATTTCAAACTAGTATTGAAGCAAGTGCACAGG